CATAATAATGAGAGTTTCATCTTCTTTGCAACAGGAAAATGGCTGCATATCACATATGCATTGGATTTTTACAATTTTTTCATAAAATGAGCATGGAAAGTTTTGGGCCTGCCAAGTTCTGAGCGCAGAAAATTAACCTAACCGGGCAGGCAAGACCCGGGGACTCTCTCCTGGTGTGAGAGCAAGGGAACTTGGAACGGAACCAGGGAAGCCCTGTTTTACTTCCAGCTTCAGCAGCTAGACCCCAATTCAGAGCAGCCAACAAGCAGATCTTCAAACTGCGAATGTTTTTAAAGATAGATAGTGCTCATTCTGGAACCAAAATTGTAATTGTGAGTTTGACAAATGAACATGATTCAACTTATGTATGGGTGCTATGATTTACAAATGTACTGTTTGATCTTCAATAAAGTTTATAAAATCTTAAATAAAAAAAAAACAAGCAGATTTTGAGACCTGTTCTTGCGCTCACATAAACCAGCCACTGACGTTCGCTTCAGAGGCCTTGTTCGGGGCCCTATCTCCCAAGGGAGGACACGAACTACAGTACCCATTTGCCTGCCTTTCTGAACGGGTCCCAAGTTCCATCCCCAGCAACTCGAGTTAAAAGGATTCGGTAGCAGATGATGCGAAAGATGTCTGTTTGAGGCCCCCAGAGCGTTACCTCCAGGTATGGTGGAAAAGGCTGACTTGGATAGTATAAGGCAGCTTCATGTGTATGGAGCTAGATGGCCCCATGGATAGAAATTGGTGCTAGGCAACTTCAAGCGTTTTCAAGCGGAGGCTGGACAACAACCATCTTTCGGGTATGTTGTAGGGCTGTCTTTCGGCTATGCTCCTGCAGAGTGCAGGGGTTCGGACTAGATGACCTGCAAGGTCCCTTCCAACTTTAACATTCTATGATTCTGTTTCAGTTTTAATGTTTTCCTGTTCTTTGTGCCGTAGCTGCCTTATTTCTATACTGTTTGGCTGCATTCTTTTAATACGAACATTGATACAGTCTTTTTTTAGTCTGGATTTATTGAGTGCTTTCTGTTTTTAGGAAACTGCCTGAAGAAAATTATTGAGAAGTGACATTGTTAACGTTTCAAATAAATAAATAAGAGCTCTGCCTGCATCTGGGTTGTTTGCTTTTTTTATCGCCAATCACCATGCAGGATCAGACTAAAGTATAGACCCCTGCCTTCAACATGGGCTAGCATGCCTGCTTTGAGGAAGCGCACAACAGCTGTTAACTACCCTGTATTGTTTGTTCCCTCTATCTAGCAATCAGATATACTGTCTCTGAATATGGAGGTTCTATTTTAGTTCTCATTCACAGCAGCACTTGATAGACCTCCTTCATGAGATGCAGCTTCTGAATAGGTGTTCACATACACATTCAACATTAAAAAAGGGGGTTCCGGTTCTGGTAGGTAATTGCAGTGGATGCGCTGTAAGATCTCCTTTTACTCAAGGTTTTTTTATATTGCTTTTATCAATTATTTTAAATTGTCTACTTTTTGTGCCAACCTTTATTCCGTGTACTAACTACTCAATTAGAGGACTCCTTTCTGCTCTCTTAAATGAGATAAGAAGCCTTGCTGGATTTATGCCACTAACGACACATCTCTCCGTTTTTATCTATGTTTTATCTATGTTTAAGACTTCCAAGGACTATTTTGCCTTACTACTTTTAATCAACCTTGAGTGACTTCAATTTCATTAAAAAAGAGACCTGAGTTCAAGTTTCGCTGCATCAAGGAATGGTGGTGTGGGCAAAGCAAAATGACCGTCTCTCTGTCTCACTTCTATCTCATACACAAGATCGAGAATATTAGGCCTACTAGGGCCAGGGCATTTTCGGTGGCGGCTCCTACCTGGTGGAATGAGCTCCCAGAGGAGATCCGGACCCTGCGGGACCTTATGCAGTTCCGCAAGGCCTGCAAGACGGAGCTCTTCCGCCAGGCGTTCGAGTAGGAGCCACCGCCGCCACTATTCTACCACCGAGGTGGTAAGTCATTGGCTGCCCTATAAGAACGGGGACAAGCGGGCCCTGGCAGAAGTTTGAGACAGTGTAGTGGGAGACCACGCTACTGAGACAGCTGGCCACCAAACCTGGGGGGGGGGGGTCGACCCCATCTTGGATGATTAATATAGGTATAGCACCGTATTATTGGAAGGTTTTATTGTTATTTTAAATGTTTTATTTATTATATACTGTATTGTATTTTGCACTCGGCTTTGCCGCATGTGAGCCGCCCTGAGCCTTTGGGAGGGTGGGATATAAATCAAACTAATAAATAAATAAATAAAACTGCCTGCCTTCCAAAGCTTTTGAGCAATAAGAATATAAAATGTGGTGCAAACGAATTATACTATTGTTGTGGTTAATGGTAATGATGTAAATGATTGTGTGAATTGTTATCACCCAAGGAAGAAGAGATTGCATTTATACCCTTCACTCAGAGTGGCTTACAATCGCCTTCCTTTCCTCTCCCCACAGCAGACACCCTGTGAGGTAGGTGGGGCTGAGAGAGCTCTGAGAGAACAGCTCTGAGAGAGCTGTGACTGGCTTCATGTGGAAGAGGAGTGGGGAATCAAACCTGGTTCTCCAGCTCAGAGCCCGCCGCTCTTAACCACGACACCAATCTGGAGCAAAAGGGCCAGATGCAGATTTTAAAGGACACCCTGGCAGTACGGTTTCTTTCGTATACAGATGTAGGGGTACTAGCAGTACAGGCCTGAGGAGAGCTAGTCGTAGAATCACAGAGTTGGAAGGGACCTCCAGGGTCATCTAGTCCAACCCCCTGCACAATGCAGGAAATTCACAAGTACCTCTCACCCCACCCCCAGTGACCCCTGCTCTGTGCCCAGAAGACTTCGTGTAACTCTGCTTATGATAGGGTTGAATACCAACCAGATGTAGAGGACGTTTGTATGAACAGAGGAAGCGTGATGTTTTCAGATTAGGCCACTGGTCCAGAGCTCAGTATTTACTGCTGACTGGCAGCAGTTTTCTGAGGCCCCAAGAAGAGAAAGGTCTTTCCTAATACCAGACATCCTTATTTTAACTGGAGGTAACAGGGACTGAACCTCAAGCATGTTAAGGCACTCAACTACAACAAGTTTGCAATTCTAACATGGATCTGGATGCCCTTTTAAAATCCACGGGACTTCTACCTATGCAAATTTAAGTAGGTACAATGAGTACAGACTCCATATTTGTTGTATGTTAGTTGTTTGTTGTATGTTAGTCTTTTTATCCTTGTAGTTGTTGTTTTCTTTCACTTTTGAAAAACAAATAAAACTTTTAGTTGCTGTAGATTTTCCGGGTTGTGTGGCCGTGGTCTTGGCATTGTAGAACCTGACGTTTCGCCAGTAACTGTGACTGGCATCCTCAGAGGTATAACACATATGGATTGTTTCCTGGGGAGGTTTCATATATCCATATACAAAAGAACCTCCTCAGGAAAGCTCCTCCATTAGCATGTTCATAGCCTGGGGAACTCCTACAAGATAATGACTCAGCCCTACCCCACCTTCTGGAGTAGATATAAATTACCTGCCTACCATTTTCTTCTCACCTTGACACAGAGAGCACTCCATCTTTCTGTGCGACACCTCTGAGGATGCCAGTCACAGTTACTGGCGAGACGTCAGGTCCTACAATGCCAAGACAACGGCCACACTGTTGTACGCACAGTTTATGAAACACTGAAGGAATTTTGTACTCTGTCACTGACTAACAGAATGAGCTTTGCAGGTACACTTAACCTTTCTGTGATACATATGTTAAGTGCTATTTACGATTTTAACTACATGGACAGAAATCACTTATGAATGTATTCAGATATTAGACTTTGGTTCACTTATGGTTATTGCTGGAAATACATTCTGGGAAGCTTAAACAAAAGGTTGTTCTGCTATTTTGCTGTTCTGCTGAGGGTTGCGGCCTTGACTGACTGGCTACTTCTGCGCACGTGCCTGTTAGCCTAGCTATACTTTTGGAATTCTATGACCTAGGCTAGATAAAAGTTTAATGTTCCGCTAGAAAGAAGAAACTTTGCCCGGGAAGACCTAACCCACAGGTCTCAACCCAATGGGAAACAGATGATGAAGTTTGCTGTAACCAATAATTCTGTTTCATTTCTCTGATGCAATGTGAAATATAAAATGCCATGTCTTCCCATTGTAACCTCAGAGCCGCTGGTTGGTATCTGAGGGGGCCAACTCCCTGTTTGTTTGGTTTCTCCCTGTTAATCGATTAACAATAAAGACCTCTGTTACAGTTTCTTCCTTCACAGGACTGAGTGTGTGTGTTTCTCAAACTGGAACCAGGGAAACACAGAGGATTTGTAGGACAACACAACCCGGAAAATCTAAAGCGGCCGTGAAAGCTTAACTTAACTTCCTTGCAGATACCAGTGGGATTTGGGCTGATGGGTATCAGAGCTGACATTTATTTATTTATTTATCAAACTTGTACCCCGCCCTCCCTGCAAACGGGCTCAGGGCGGCTTCCATAAAAACATAAATACATTAAAATACACAATATTCGACCACAATAAAACGTTATAAAAACAAAGTGCTGGCGGCTGATTAAATTAGTCTAGATGGTACATTACAGGGATAGATTTCCACTGCCCAGATGTTCCACGATGTCACTGCTCATAATCACTGCTCATAATCAATTTATGATGCAGCCTGCAAGACATGAGGCTGAATTCCCAACTCTGTGCAAGGGGGAGGGGGCGCGTGGGGCTGATCCCCGCCTCCTTTGGGCAAATCACGCTCGCTCACCCCCTCCCCCCCATGTCTACTTACTGTGCAAACTCTCTCTCTCTAGCAAGGGTCGGAAAATACGGAAAGTCTCCATTAAACTCGCCTCCCTCTTTCTCCTCTCCTTTATTGGACCTACCGCACGACCGACACCGGATTCAAAACGCCAGCGAGCGAGGAACAAAAACACACGACTTCAGTTCCCCCACCGGACACTATTAGCCACGCACGGAAACAAACCGGAAGTGCGCGAGGAAGCCAGCGAACAGACTGTCAGGGGAACCCCCGATCGATTTCCGAGACTCCGGAGTTCAGGTGAGGTGCGGAGGCCTGACCTTCGGAGCCCAGAACTCTTCTCCCCGCCGAGTCGTGTTCGCTGCCCCTGAACGGCGAGTCTCGGACCGGAGCCCGGCAGGGTCAGGGCAAAATCGGGTCCGCCAAAGGCTCAAACGGGCAGGTCTCCAGTGCGCATGCGTGCTGTCCGGCGGGGAAGCGGTGGGCGAGGTTTAGCGGGAGAGGCTTGGAACGGAGCGCTGTGATTGGCTGAGAGGGCTTTGAGGTGTTATCAGACAGCTGAGCGGCGCCTCTTAAAGGGCCAGTTCAGGGTCTGAGTTCAGCTGAACACAACATGGACTTGTGGAGATCATGGCATGATAGATATTGTTAATAGAAGAGAGATCCTTCAGTGTCTCTTAGGCAGGCTGGTTAGCCACGTTCAGAAGTAGCATACCTCTGGATACAACTTGTGCACAAGGGAAGTAGGAATAGGGTTTTGGTACCTGTGCCCTGCTTGCAGGACTTTGGGTTGTGGGAACCAGGATGGTGGACTAGGTGGGCTTTTGATCTGGTAGAGCTCTTCTTACACATCACTGACTGATCACGAAATTTGCTGTTGCTTTGACAGCCGCGTAGGACCGGGCGTCCTCTTTGAGCGCAGGGTAGTGATTAATGACTCTCCTGCAAATCCGCTTTCTTCCTTTGGCACAGGCCTAGGAGGAGAATGGCTCACGGCCAGGCGAGGAAGAGGTCCAGGTCCAGGAGTAGGAGTGACTCTCGGAGCAGGCAGGACGCGGAGAAGAGGAAGGAGAAGAGGAAGAAGAGCAAAGACTCCCGAGAGAGGAGAAGCCCGTCTCCTGCCTGCAAAAGGGGGCCGGAGTCTCAGAGGCTCCAGAGGCACTCGGCCTCCTCGAAAGAAGGTAAGGACGTGCTTGAGTGGCCCCTCCTGCTGCAGCCGCCAGGGCCTCTTGGGAGGGTTCCACAGATGTTGCGTAAAGGATAAATAATAAAGGAAAGGAGGCCTCCAGAAATTGTTGGCATGAATTCTACTTGTGGGCCAGTCTTTGGCCTGCCACCTAGAAGGAATTTCTAGTAACACATAAATATACACTGCAAAAACCTTTTAGCAAACTAATGTGTTCTATTTATGGTCATCATGTATCATTATTTTATCCTAGTCAGGTATAAATATTCATTACATTCAATAAGCAATAACATTCAATACATACAGATTCCTAACTACCAAACAATTCTGCATCAGTGTTTTAAAAGTTAAGCTCCAACGGGAATTTCTAGAATTATAAGCCCGCTTCTCCTTGCATGAAGTCTTCCAAAAAGCCTTGTTGTATGGATGCTTTTTGCCGGTCCTACAAAAGACACATTATGCAGCTAACATTCATGGACGGAGTACTCCTGTCATTCTCAAAGCTGCATAGTAATGAATATTTATACCTGACTAGGATGAAATAATGATACACTATGCACTTTACTAAATGATGACCATAAATAGAACACATTAGTTTGCTAAAAGGTTTTTGCAGTGTATATTTATTTGTTACTAGACTCTCCTAACACTGCAGCTCAGTTTGCTTCACCTAGAAGGAATTGACGGATGCCCCACACTGAGAGCCAGCTTCTGGTGCTCACAAGGCAGTTTTTAGGCAGTCGACTAGAGCCCCCCCCTTCCCCCCCTAGTGTATGTAAAACGTGGGACATCCAGCTAGGAGCAGTGTCTGTTGGGAGGCATGCCCCCACAGCAGAACCTCAAGACGGCTTTAACTCGTTCAGAAGCTCCAGCCTTTCTCCCTCAGTGTAGGTTCAGCTTCCCACCCTGCTTTGAAGCTCACTGATGACCTTGAGCCAATTGTTCTCTCTCAGCCTAAACTACTTCACAGGGCTGTTGTGACAATAAAACGGACGATGGCAGAAATGTGTACAGCGCCTGGAACTCCTTGCAGGAAAGGTGGGAGAAAAAAAATGTGATAGGCACCTTGGAAATGGTAGTTTTTGTGGCCGCTGCTCTTCTCTGCTTGAGTTTCGGCTGCCTCTTTTGTCCTCTCTCCCCTTCAGTTCCACCATACAGGGTTCCTTAAAGGGGGAGCTGGAGCAGTGAAGCCCCATTACAAGAGCAGATAGACCTGGGTCATCTTGGACAAGAAGAGGGAGCTCACTCAGGTTTTTCTTGAGGCTGACAGTTCTGGAGCATTTTAGATTTTAGCACGATGGAGGATCCATGGCGACCTTTGGATCATAGAATCACAGAGTTGGAAGGATCCATAGAGGCCATCTAGTCTAACCCCTGCTCAACGCAGGATCAGCCTAGACCATCCCTAACCAGTGTATGTCCAGACGCTGCTTGAAGACTGCCAGTAAGGGGGAGCTCGCCACCTCCCTAGGCAGCCGATTCCACTGCTGAACTACTTTTATTGTAAAAAATTTTCCCCTAATATCCAGCAGATAGCTTCCCACCCGTAATTTAAGCCCACTATTCCAGTTTAACATTCTGAATGCATATCTTCTCATTACAATTTCACAACTATTTCATCTATAATTCTTATTATTTTTCACTTTGTCTTATTTTCTCAATACTTGAGTTTTAACCAGTCATAGAATGCAATCCAGGGAACGTGAATATTTTTACATTCCCTTTCCCCTTCCCTACTTTCTTTATATAAACTAATAAAATTCTTTATAAAAAATCATTAAGCCCACTATTGCTTAAATCTCAGGCTGGGGCAAGGGAAGCTCTGTATTCTTGGTGCTTGGGGGGCGGGGCAACCGTGGGAGGGCCTCTAGTGTCCTGGCCCCACTGCTGGACCTCCTGGTGGCCCCTGGTGTTTTTGGCCCCTGTGTGACACAGAGTGTTGGACTGGATGGGCCACTGGCCTGATCCAACCTTGGCTTCTCTTATGTTCTTATTGCAAGTCCTAGCCTCTGCTCCCTGCCCTCCTCTAAGCGGCAGCCCTTCAAATACTTAAAGAGAACAATCATGTCCCCCCTCAACCTCCCCTTCTCCAGACTCAACATTCCATGCTGCCGTTAACCTAATGCTGCATTCCAGGGAAAAAGAAGAAAACAGACAAGAAGAGGAGAAAAGCCAGTACTTCCTCCTCCTCGGACACGACCCCCTCCTCGTCTCCTTCTGGGTCCTCCTCCTCCTCTGAGGAAGGATCAAGCGACGGTGAGTCCAAGCCCAAGAGGAAGAAGCGCAGCAAGAAGAAACTGGCCAGAGAGAAAGAGAAAAAGAAGAAGAGCAAGAGGAGGAAGAAGAAAGCCAAGAAGAAGGCAAGCAGGAAGCTGAAGGAGAGGGCGAAAGAGGGGAAGTCCAAGGGGGAAGAGCTGACCGGCCCCTCCCTGGAGCAGTGGCAGAAAGAGACGCTGGTGGAACCCGGCCCAGGTAAGGGTTGTGTTTCTGGCAGGAAAGCCCAGGGGAAAGGCATATGCTGCAGTCCGTTTCCCTTTTTAATTTCCACGCCTTAGTCTTGTTGCATTGCTTACTGGATGTCCCGTCCTAGCGACGGCATTGCCTTACCCTGTGCAATCTGCCTCTCGTCTCAGTGAGAAAGGTGGATTGCAAATAACATGAATGAATAGATGAGGGAAAAGTTGTGGTCGTCGAAGGCCGAGATCTGTTTGGCCGGTTGGCTCCCTTCAGGGTCAAGCTCCTCCCTCCGGCCAGCTTCCCTTGCATTCGTTCCTGGGGGCCGTTTCCTGTCCCGCCTCTCCTGGGACCTTGTGCTTCCTGGAGGCTGCCCTTTCCCAAGGCTCTTCTGCCTGCCCTGCCCTCTCTAGGGTCTGAGTAGAGCACCAACGGCTGCGGGAGACCATCGGCCTGCTCTTTCCCTTTCTCCCATTGAGGCCGCTCAGCCTGGCATTGCTGTGGACTTCCTCCTGCTCGGTAGTTTACACTATAGATCGAATCTGATTTCATAAACCATTTACTTGGCTCCATAGATTTTGTTCACAATTCTAAGCAGAACTGAAAGCTGGAATACAACCATAGAGTTAAAAAGTTGGAAGGGGCCTAAAGACCATCCAATCCAGCTCCCTGGATGACCTAAGAGCAGAAGAGAAGCCATGTTGGATCAGGCCAGTGGCTCAGCCAGTCCAACACTCTGTGTCACTCAGTGGCCAGAAATACCAGGTGCCATCAGGAGGCCCACCAGTGGGGCCAGAACCTCAGGAGCCCTCCCCCTCTTGCCCCCCAAGCACCAAGAATACAGAGCATCACTGCCCCAGACAGGGTGTTCCATCTGGACCTTGTGGCTAATAGCCACTCATGTTTCTCCAATCCCCTCTTGAAGCTGTCTATAAGAACGTAAGAGAAGCCATGTTGGATCAGGCCAGTGGCCCATCCAGTCCAACACTCTGTGTCACTCAGTGGCCAAAAATACCAGGTGCCATCAGGAGGCCCACCAGCGGGGCCAGAACCTCAGAAGCCCTCCCCCTCTTGCCCCCCAAGCACCAAGAATACAGAGCATCACTGCCCCAGACAGGGTGTTCCATCTGGACCTGTGGCTTATAGCCACTCATGGACCGTATGTTTCTCCAAACCCCTCTTGAAGCTGTCTATGCTTGTAGCCGCCACCACTTCCTGCATAACAACATAAGAGAAGCATCCCTGACAAATAAGCGTCCGGTCTCCGCTGAAACACCTCCAAGGAGGGAGAACCGAAACATTGCCAAGGCGATTCCACCACTGACCTGTTCTTATTAATTCCCCCCCCAATACTACACTGGTATCTCCCCCACCAGTCACTGGAACCCATTATTCCCAGTCCCCTCCTCCACTACCCACTGAAACGGTGCCCTCCCCTCCTCTGAACGGCAGCCGTCCAGATATACTAGAAAATAAATACAAAAGGAGAGTAGAAGGAAGAATGAGATCTGCAGGTTAAGGATGGGCAGATGCTTTAGGCACAAAGAAATACCTGTGAGGCTGCGGGAAGAGGAGAGCACGGCCCCCTGCCCTACGAGCCACCCATTGTGACCCCCCCCCGGGCGGCTGGTTCCCATGTGGGGCGGAGATGTCATCGTCTCGCTGTCCACTGCACTGGTCAGGCCGCTCCTGGAGTCTCGTGTGCAGTTCTGGAGGCCTCACTTCAAAAGGGATGTGGGCGGAATGGAGCGGGTGCAGAGGAGAGCGACCAGGACGATCGGGGGCCTGGAGACCAATGTTCCCTCTAAGCTGTGGAGACTTGTGAGCAAAAAGTTCTCCTTTGTGAGTGTCAGCAAGCTGCCATTCTGTTTTCTGTGACCTCTGTGTACATATCCTTTCCCTGTTGCACCCGGCTTGGTTTCTATCATCCTGCTCCTGCGTTGGAATGCAAAAGATAACTGCTGGAGGTTGTGTGGGGGAGAAGATGCTGTAATGCTTGCCTATTGATTTTCTCATGAGTACTGCACCTGTGTTTTGTCTGATGTTCTGCCTGGTTCCCATGGACTGGGCGCGCAACCGTTTCATTAGCCCGCCAGCGGGAAAGCTATTCATTGGATCTGTATCTGTTTGAAGTTCCTTTATTATGCTTGACCTAACTGTGTATCCCCAGTTCTAACAAAGAACGTGTTTGAGTATGTCTTCAACGCTTTGAAATAAATTTTGCTTTTCTTGAAAACGTGGATTTATTCTCGATGCTTGGGGATCCAACATATTGTTAGAACTCCCTTTTTCCTATCGTTCCGAATCTGGCAAGATCATGAGCGGAATTGAGGGAAATCTACCTAACACGGAGGGGGACTCAGGATCGGTCCCACAAACCTCCGCGTCTTTGGTGTTCACGACTGCAGCCTCGATGGAGGGTGCCGTGGGGGGAGCGATTCCCCGCCTGCCTGCACATCTGTCTTGGCCGCCTCCGACCCCTTCGCAATGGGGTCCGCGGAAGACTCACCAGCAGGATGATTGGACTATGTACAACACCCAGGGCACCCGTGAGGTGTACTCCCGTCGGGGGAGCGGATTACGTGAGAGTCTGTTTGACAAGGGATTGTTCCCGGAGCCGGGGTCTACCTCGGAGAAGGGGAGTCCCAAGCAGGACCTCGAGGAGTGGATGTTCGAGCCGTCGGGACCGCGAGGCCACGCAGAAGATGAGGAGGGCACCGGAGCCTTCCAAACGGAAGAGGACTATGACCCACCCCCGGACTACCGCCCTCGGGACCCCATCCCGGAGGAAACTACCGGGGAACGACTAGCAGAACTGGAAGACTCGGTGAGAGACTTGTTGCGGGCATTCCAGGATGTGATGGAAGGTCTGCCGGGAATGATGGACGTTAGAATGGCTAATTTCCTTGACGCACACGCCGCGCAGCAACAAGTTGCTCCTGCACCGGGATTGCCCACGCCGCCGATGCCTGCTCAACCGCTGATGGGACCACCGCTGCAAGCACCGGGAGTTCCCGCGCAGCAGGTGCCTGTCCAGCCGCCGGTGAGACCGCCTCAGCAAGTGCCTGTGCAACAGCCGATGCCGGGGGGTCCGCCGGTGCCGGGTCTGCCGCC